GCCAGAAGAGGCTGTTAGATCCCCTGGAACTGTAGTTACAGACAGTTGTCAGCCGCCATGTGGGGGCTGGGAACTGAACTCAGGTCCTCGACAGCCAGTGCTCTTAACCTCTCCATTTCTCTCTCTCTCTCTTTTTAAAAATTTTATTTTTTATTTTATGTGTATGCATGTATTGCCTGCATGTAGGTAAGTGCACCCGTGTTGTACAATGCCTGTGGAGGACAGAAGAGGTTGTCAGATCCCCTGGGACTGGAGTTGCAGACAGTTGTTAGCTGCCATGTGGATGCTGGGATTCGAACCTGGGTCTTCTGCAAGAACAACCAGTGTTCTTAACCCCTGAGCCATCTCTCCAGCCCCTCTCTCTCCTTTTATAACATGTATTTACTCTGGGAGGGTCATGCACATTCCATAGCATACACATGGAAGTGGGAGTCAGCTGTCTTTTTCTACCACATGGTTCCAGAAATTGAATGAACTCAGATCATCAGACAGGGCAGCAAATGCCTTTAACCTAATGAGCCATCTTACTGGCGCTTTTCATTTGTTTGTTTGGTTTGGTCTTTTTGGTCTCCCTGTAGCCCCAGCTGGCCTCAAACTCACTATGTAGACCAGGCTGGCCTGGAACTCACTGAACAAATGCCACCCAGCATTGTTTGTTTATTTGTTTAGGGACCTAGACTGGCTAGAACTGTGGCAATCCCGCTTCAGCCCTCCCTAGTGCAGGGATTATGTGTTAGCCACCGTGTCTGGCTGTGTTCATTGGTTTTACATCATGTAGCTGTAATACTACCTTTATTATCGGCAGAACTGAAAAGGCACCAGGAACCCAGGTTTGCACCCAGCCCTGTGTGGGTGTCTTCCTCATCACCAGCAGGGCAGGTGCTGTGCCCTCTGGCTCCCTATGTTGCCAGTGGCTGGGCTCCATGAAGATACTGACTGCAGCCTCCGGAGCAGCCACCAGCACCTCTGGAAAAGAAAAAAGAATTGTGAGGGGCTTTTTTGTGAAGCAGAAAGTGATTGTAAGACAAACGGAAAGTAAGAGCCATCTGACATGGAACATGGAGACAACTGTGAGACCCCCTGGTCAGCCTTCGGCCTGACAGGCTGTCCACTGCCTGGAGAAGGCCTGTCTGCGCTCACACTCTGAACAATTGATCCAGCTTCCAAGAAGGCAGCGTTCCAACAGCTATCGAACTTGCCCCAGGCAGAGAGCTGCTTGGCTGGGCCGTCTACTTTCCAGGTGTCTCTTCTACAGAAACAGTTACACAAATCACACGGAAAGCTGTGTGTAGTTTCAAAGTTCGGTTGGTAAATTACAGCCGGTCCAGACCACAAACAAGGAAGCTGTTTGGGTGCTGAATTGGAAATCGCACACTCAAGTTTAAAACTTGATGGGGTGGGGCAGGGGTCGGGGTTGTGGAGGACAGTTCCCTTGTATTGGGTGTAAAATGTCAACCCAAAATGTCAGAAAGGCTGATAACATCCGAGCCCTTGGAAACAGATGGGTGGCCCTGTCCAGGGTGGCAGACTGCATATCCTAAAATCCCCTGTCTTCTGAAATCTGAGCCAGTCAAAAGCCAAAAATGAAATTTTAGAAGGGAAGAGGGGAACTGGGAAGTTGTGTTTAATGGGGTGATGGGAAAATTCTGCAAACAGTGGAGATAGTTGCACCAAGTGAATATACTAATGCCACTGAACGGCATACCTAAAAAGTAAATGTTCAGTGGTAAAACTGTTGCTATGCATACTTTACCACAATACAACCGAAATAAAAATATATATAGAAATGTGGGCTGGAGAAACGGCTCAGAGGTTCAGAGCCACAGGGCGGTTAACAACTGTCTGCAACTCCAGGGACTCCCTCTTCTGGCCTCTGTGGGCATTGCACAATACAGATGCACTCTCACACATGCAAGTCAAAACACACACATAAAATAAATAAATTTAAGCCGGGCGTGGTGGCGCACACCTTTAATCCCAGCACTCGGGAGGCAGAGGCAGGCAGAGCTCTGTGAGTTCAAGGCCAGCCTGGTCTGCATAGTGAGTTCCATGACAGCTGGGGCTACAGGGACACCCTGTCTCAAAAGGACCAAAAATAAATAAATAAATAAATTTAAAAAGAAACGTATAAAAACGTGCCAATTCATTTCAACCGTGAAAAGCAACAAAACTCTTGCTTATGTGAAGCTTGGGGTGGGCTGATCTTGGCTGCAGAACATTCATTCGCAGCTGTACACGGCAGTCAAATGAGGACCCCAGATGTGGGCCCAGGAGACCCCAGGCTGCGGGCGCTGGAGGCTCTGGGACGACCCTGACAGTGGAGAGGGGCCAGTCCGCACCTGAAGCTGTCCTCCCGCGCCTGCGCAGACCCCCCTCGCACGGCGCACGCGCAGACCCCGCCCCTCGCGTCGGCTGCCCATCGTCCGATCCCGCCCATTGGTCCAGAAGTGGAGCGGGGGTTCGGCCCGCCAGCGATTGGATGGTGCGGGAGCAGCCGGGGCCTCAGGGGCCAATCGCGTGGCAGCGCGTGAGGCCGTGGCCACCCGCCGGGACCCTCTGGGCTCCGCGGCTCCTGATGCCCAGCGCCTGGGCCATGGCCTCCGAAAAGCTCCAGGTGGTGGTCACCTGCACCGCGCCGGTCAACATTGCGGTCATCAAGTACTGTGAGTGCTGGACCGGGCGCCGCGGCCGGGGTTGGGGGCGCGGGGCTGGGGTGTCACCACGGCCAGGATCGGGGCGCGTGGCTGGGGAGGGATCACCACCGCCAGGATTGGGGAGCGGGGCTGGGGTGTCACCATGGCCAGGATGGGGGAGCGGGGCTGGGGAGGGATCACCACCGCCAGGATGGGGGAGCGGGGCTGGGGTGTCACCAGGGC